CCGCGAGTATATAAGTGCTGTTAATTACTAATTACAAACAGCCAATACTTTAAGGCAAATTATCAAATACTGGTTAAAGCAAGAAGTTAATAAACACCAATAGCACCATCATGCTCCATGCTACTTGGCTTCGTTTATGGTTATTTCAGTTACCAACAGTTACGAGGTTCGATTAAATGAACCAGCAAATTAATCTGTCTTGTTCTTTTACAAAATTTGATATAATTATGTGTTCTATTATTTATAATGAAACAATAAAATGAACCGTATCAAAGAAATAAAAAAGGTTTCGAACCTCTCTCTTCTTTATATATAATATATATATATATATATATAGTGATATAAAAGAACTTGTTTTTAAAATGTTTTGTTCCATTGATTATAATGTAACTGATCCCCCCCTTTTTTTTTAAATGTGTCCCTTTAATTTTTAAGATATATAGTTTCAGAAAGACTGAAATGCAAAATAAAGAGAAACAATGAGTGAGATAGCTCTGTTGATTTAAGGATTAAAAAAAAATTAAACATCAAAGCCAGTTAGATGAGATGGCAAACTAAATTATAGCTGCGAATAAAAATTAAGTCTTAAACACCTATCATATTTGTGAAATTTAATACACTGAAATCCCTTGAACTGGCTGGCTGCAGTGGGAGTAAAGATAAACCATAAAACATCATTAATTCTTACTCATTTTAAAATTGTGCTTGTACTGTACGGATATGATGAGAATGATAAAATAAAAAAATAGTATCTGATAGCTGTTCTATTGGCATATTTAAATTATGATTAGTTGGCATTTTGACTTATTTGAGCTTTCTGTCCCAGCTTAAATAAACTTTTCTCACAAAAAAAAAATAAATAAATAAAAATTCTTTTAGTGATTAAAGATGCACAAATATTTAAATTATGCATTATGCTGATTAATCAATTATAGTATAGCACATGAGGCTATCTGTTTTAGGAGAGATGCTTTCATGCAGAATACTCTAAAGGCATAGTCTTGTATTCAAATTACACACTAGTCTACTATTACTGAAAACTGCACTCAACTATCCCATTTGTCATACATCCAAAGTTACCTCTTAGCCACTTGTGGGCATGAAAATTAAAAACCAGGCACAGAGATTATCATTTAGTAGTTTACTAGGAAAAATTTTCATGATCAAAAATATTTCTTAAATAAAAAAAAAAAAAAAAAAAAAAAATGATGTGTACACCACATGACTTCCTTGTATGGAATATTAAATTACACGCATTTTTTCTTGCATTTCATTTAAACTTATTGGATTGAATTAAATCTACTTTGCCGACAGCGCATAAACCACAATAGAATAAATGCATTCTTTAAAATTCACTCTAGTACACTCATGTCCATAAATTAAGGATATTTCGGAGTCACGCAGAAATCAAACTCTAAAATAAATATATCACCTGTAAAATCACTACCCACATCTTCAAGAATCATATGAAAATTTCAGGAAGTAACCAGATGACACCGATGGTACGTCACAATGACGAGAGTGTAAGAGAGTGATATATAAGGAATACAGGCAAAGAAATCAAATTTTTCGCAGACGTTTTATAAGCATTTCAGTGCAATAATCGAATAGTTATGACACAAAGGACGCATTTGGATGATTTTTTACGTGGTAGAACTATCGGCCGTCTGGAATGTGGGCGAACGCAACTGGAAATATCAGACAAACTTGGAATTGCCCAGAGTGTCCTCTCCAGGCTTTGGCAACGATTCCAAGATGATAGTAATGTGAGTAGACATTACAGCACAGGTCGCCCCAGAGTTACAATGCCAAATGAGGACCGGTATTTGGCAGTTACTGCCAAAAGAAACAGGCGGAGCACAGCCTCAGACCTGTCTCGTCAGCTCTCTTCAGCCACTGGTACGACAATTTCAAGGCAGACGCTTAGGGCAGACTGGTCTATATGCTTGTAGACCTGTCAGATGCGTTCCACTTACTGCAACTCACTGTCGCCTGCGGTTAGCCTGGAGTAGAGAGCATGCATTGTGGACACCGCAACAGTGTGCTTGTGTGATGTTTTCCGACGAGTCAAGGTTTAGCTTGCAGTCTGATTCTCACCGGACTTTCATATGGAGAGCTCCAGGTACCTGTTACCACCAAGAAAACATCATTGAACGACACCGTTACGGGGGTGCAGGAGTGCTCGTTTGGGGTGGAATTATTCTGAGTTCCAGAACTGACCTGCATGTTCAAATTGGAACCATGATAAGCCAAATCTATCGGGACGTAATTCTGGAACAACATGTACGTTGTTTCGGGGCGCCATGGGCGCACAATTTGTGTTTATGGATGATAACGCCCGTCCTCACCGTGCAAACATCATAAGCAAATGCCTTCAATCGGAGGATATCACTCGTATGAACTGGCCAGCATTCTCACCGGACTTGAATCCAGTAGAGCACGTGTGGAAAATGCTTGGCCAACGAATTGCAGCCTGTCAACCTCCTCCTACATGTCTACCGGAACTTCGGAGAGCATTGCTTTTTGAGTGGTGTAATATCCCCAAAGATTAGATCGATAATTTGATACTCAGCATTCCTAGGCGTTGTACGGACTGTATTGCATCATCTGGGAGACATACAATGTATTAACAATCATACCAACCATGTAATATTGTTTTTTTTTTTTTTTTTTTTTTTTTTTTTTGTAAATAGGTTTTTTTTTTTCATTATCCTTAATTTGTGGACATGAGTGTATTTGTTTACCATAGCCACACTGTGGCGCTAGATTCATTTAACAATATTATATTTCGTTCATATTATAACTCATAATGCACAAAATTTATATCATTTAAAGAATAGAATTACCTAATCATTGCCACATGTTCTATTCAAATACTATAATAAAGCTAGAATGATGCATAAAAGAAATTAAGCAAACAAAACAAAAAAAAAAAAAAAAAAAAAAAAAGAAACAGTTTTTCACAGACAATTGAGTATTTCTCATTCAATTAATTCATTTCTCACTTCGCGAGAAGGCAAAAATACATAAAAACTCAAAATATCTATATTATAATAAAAATTACGAAATAAATCTTAAACACTTATTTCCTCGAAAAAATTCCAGAAAGGATTAAGCATCATTTAATTGGCAATAATAAATGAAGGTGTTACCTTTGTCGCTACGAAGCTAAGTTTCTCTAGATTGGCAACAAATCCACTAGTCTGCGTGTTTCAAATGTAAACAATCAATGGCCGCCATAAAAAAAAAGGCTTAGCGGCACTTAAAACTTTAAAATTGTTGATAATTCTAAAAATATTGCACACAGATTTACTAAAGGCATAAAAACCTTAACCGGAAGATAAAAACAACATAATTCAATCATTTTTAAAGCAAAAAAATGTACAATTTACAAAGATATAAGAGTAAAGAAACTGAGATCACCGAGCCGGGTAACAGAGTGGATACATATATAAATATATTTATATACGTTTGGTGCGGCCGCATACAACCAAAATACGAGGTGCATATTTACATGTTATAGCAGTCCTATATACAAAATTTCAACATTCTGAGGCTACTCATTTTTAAGTTATGCGAGATACGTACGTACGTACGTTCGTACAGATGCCACGGAAAATTCTCTTCAGAATTAATTTTAAAGCAGTTTTATAATTTTTTTGGAGAAAATGAGTCTTTTATTCTGCCCTTACGTACAGATATCACGCAAAAACATTGTTAAATTGCATTCCATAGCAGTCAAAATTGATATTTTCTTTGAAATATGCTGCCTGAAACTTTTCGTGATTACAATACTTCCTTTTTACTTCGTACAAGGAAGTAATAAGAAGTTCTTTTAACATGTTGGTATGTATTTGCCTATTGATCTATGGTAAATGAGAAGTAAAGTAAAATTAACACTTTATAAAATTCATTGCACTTAGAATCCGAACAAGTACTCGTGTTATTGCCTGAAAATTAAATGTTATAATAAATTACATTAAATGTTCTCTTATAAGTGCTCTTATTTTCTTAAATAGCACAGATATGTGATGACCATCAAGAACAAATGCTGCTAAAGAATTGTATTTACAAATAACCAAAGTACATCAGTTATTGAACAAAGATATGGCATCAAATGATAAATTATTATAGTGCGATGAAAGTAGTAGCACTTTTAAAGCAAATCAATTTTAAAACTTAATGTTTACTACAAGAAACAGAATGAAGCTTTGCAATCCAAAACTATAACTGTCTAAAATATTTTTAGACTTAACCTTCAGAAATGTAAAAATTTAGTTTTAAGAAACAAATACATCAACATAATTTGAACAGAAACTAAAATGAAAATCAGATTGCCAACACTCACATGATAAGAAATCAAATTTTTCAGAAAAATATCTTTTTCATAGTACAAATTAAAATGTTAGATGTTTCAATGTTTGGAATTGAAATGCAGATAAAAAAAACTAAATGAAATATGTTACAATTTTTAATTTCATGAAAATTAATGTCATTTTATTTAAGTAATTTAAAAGCTGCAGCTTATAATTTAGTACTTAAGTATTCTATGAAATTTTCAGTTAAACAACACAGAGCATTTCTGAACACAGCCCTAGCAGAAAAAGAACAGAAAAAAATATTAAAAATTTCAGAAGTTTGTGTTAAGTGATAAAATTTAACAATGCAACGAACCAAAAAAACAGTTTGGAATTCGTGCTAACCTAAGTTCGCATTAACCGATAAAAACTTTCTAAAAGATCATATACATTGTTGCTGGAACCAAAACCTTGTTCATGTTAACTGAGTGTTCACATTAAGGTGAGTATACTATACTTACATTTGCTGCTTACTAGCCTTTGAAAATGTGGCCTGAGAACAGTTAGTTTGAAAGTAACAGCATGTAGGAGTTACGTTTGTTTTGAAGAATTAGAAACATAAGACAAAATAAATATTCAGTTTTTAATACTGCAGTGAAATTGTGTGGATAATAGAAAGCCCAACTAAAACACAAAGAAAACTAAAAAATAATAAAATAATTTATTGTATTTACAAGTTAAAGACATTCTTCAACAACAAATGTAATCATGTGATTCATGTCTCAACAGTATATCCTGCACAAAAAAAATTCATGCATCTTCAGCAGTTTTCTAAAATTTTAAGGCAAAATTCTCCAACCACTGTTATAAACTGAACTGCTAAAGAGGACAATGTAAAGAAAATCATCAGTTATACAAATGAATTCATTATTTAATTCTAGACCGAACGATTCCATCTTATACTCCAGAGAATATATTCAGTTCATATTACACTCAAACACACAGACCTGCAAACCTTTGATTTCTGTTCAAATGCCACTAAGTCCTTGTTACTCAAAGTAATATTTAATAAATGCATAATTCATTAAGTTGATGACTATGACAATTCTTCTTCTTCCCTGCTCTCAGAAGGCACCCAGCGCTTGAAAAGGACTTCCTAAAATGAAAGAAAAAAAATAAAAAGAATTAAAAAAACAAACATCTACTAAAAAACCAACTAGCTTATAAATAACATATCTTATTTATATTACTAAACTTTCTCAAAATTTTGAATTCAAGAAAAATACATGTAAACTAAAAAGGTAAATTATTATTTGCTGACACTATGAAAATAATCAGAATCAACAAGAATTCAAATTGTATTTGGTTTCAGGCGCATATGGTGCTGAAAGTCCCTAAACCTCCTCTGTAGTATTTGCAAGCCTAATCACATACTTAATTTACTTTGAAAGAGAATTACTTCAAAATGAGCTTTGGCAATATTTTGAGATATAAATTAAAGATGATAATTAGAGAAAACAGAGTTCTCAAAAATGGGCTCCAATGTTAAAACTATCCCAGAGTAACTGGCGCTGGAGATCAATAGTATGCCTAAAATCGATTATATACAATAAGCAAGCACGTCAAGCAAAGTTCTGTCATGGTGCCTGCTATGCCGACTGGCTACGGGAGGAAAGCAACAGATAGATTAATAGTGCAAAATAATTTGCAAACATGGGTTGAAAATTTTGAGGGGGTACAAAAGGTTAGAAAATTTTTCTGTGAGCATTCTTTATCCTTACAGTAGTTTTTGTCAACAAGGATTCTGTACAGCCATAAAGCTCCATAAATAGGAACTTTACTGGAAAAGTGATAGCTACACCCATGTTACATGGAAAGAATAGCTTCATTTTTTGCCCATGAAAACTTATGAAACAACTTTTTATTTCAAATCAGAAAAAAAATACTTTGTGTATTCCGTATCTCATATGCAGAAATTTGAGATAATTTGGGTAAACTGTTCAGGCAACTGGCCACTCAAGACACTAGTTTTCAATTTTTTTTTTTTTTTTTTTTTTTTTTTAATGCTGAAGAAGTGAAAAATGAGCAATGCCCTGACCAGGACTCGAATCTGGATCTCACAAATATGAGTGTGCAACTACCACACCACAAAAGCATGCAGAAAGGAGGAAGAAAATACCTTATAATATAAAACAGCAAATAAAAAAAATGCAAGGTAAGCACCTATCGGGAATTCTAAAGACGTCCTGCTTTTAAATGTTTTGTGATTTTGTTATTGAACTTTATGTGGCATACGTATGAAGAATGCAAGATCTAATAAATAAATTTAAACACAGACAACTACAAAATTGACAAAAAAAAAGGTTCTTTAAGGCAAGAAAACTGAACATTGATATGATGAACTGTGAAAAGAAGAAAAAAATAGAATAATGTGTACCAACACTTAACACTGTATTGGAAATTCTAAGCATATACTGTTATGCTGCTGTTAAAATTTTTGTGTTTTTGCTGCTGAACCCAATATGACATAAGTATGAAGAAAGCAATGCTTAATAATAAAGTTAAAAAATGTGTGTTTTACACTGTGTTGAAAATTTTAAGCATATACTGTTATGCTACTTTTAAAAATTTTGTGATTCTGCTGTTGAACTGTATGTGATGTAAGTGTGAAGAAAGCGATGCTTAATAACACTAAAAAAAACTGTGATAGCAGGAGTGAGTTCAAGAGCAAGTTGGTACTCTGTGATACTCAAAGCATAAAAAACCTTAACAAACACTCTGGTGCAATGTTAAAATCTGAATCCTTTCTTTCTTTCTTTTCTTTTTTTTTTTTTTTTTTAAATACTTTTGATCTCTGTAAATACATAGATTGCAAGAGTTTAATGACTGACTGAAAAGAGACACCTTATACAAAACAATTATAATCAGCATGGAATTTAATTCCTACATCCTCAAATTAGTTCTACACTCTCCTGATTACATATAAATTGTCTCAGTATTACTCTGCATAAACAGGCATAAATTTCTTTTCTTTTCATAATGTACTTTAATCTGTTAGCTTAAAAGCTGATGTCAAATGAGAAATGTGGTTAAAAGGTTTTAATTAATACGAGAATGAATGTATTTATATAAAACCTGCTTATTCCAAACTAGAAAGCCCGGCGTCATACGAAATGACCGCTGCTTTACATATTATAAATTGTAATTAAAATATTTGTGCAAAGGTGTCTGCTGATTTAAACTGAAATACCCAGGCATGCGGTGAGGATGCCCCTTTGCTTACTGCCCCACGGGGTTTCCCCGTTCTACTCGCTTAGTTGAGCAAGAGTTTAATGACTGACTGAAAAGAGACACCTTATACAAAACAATTATAATCAGCATGGAATTTAATTCCTACATCCTCAAATTAGTTCTACACTCTCCTGATTACATATAAATTGTCTCAGTATTACTCTGCATAAACAGGCATAAATTTCTTTTTCTTTTCATAATTGTACTTTAATCTGTTAGCTTAAAAGCTGATGTCAAATGAGAAAATGTGGTTAAAAAGGTTTTAATTAATACGAGAATGTATTTATGTATAAAACCTGCTTATTCCAAACTAGAAAGCCCGGCGGTCATACGAAATGACCGCTGCTTTACATATTATAAATTGTAATTAAAATTATTTGTGCAAAGGTGTCTGCTGATTTAAACTGAAATACCCAGGGCATGCGGTGAGGATGCCCCTTTGCTTACTGCCCCACGGGGTTTCCCCGTTCTACTCGCTTAGTTGCTTAAAGTAGAGTTCAATGAAGGAAATAACTGGCAGTACATTTCTTAAGAGCCACACCGCTAGCTCAATAAATAAAGGTGATTTAAATAATAAAATGTTAATTCACATGTCAAAGATCTCTTTGTACACAACATTTCTTGTGTAGATCTTTCCATCATTTTTAAGCTCTCCTTGCAAAGGACCATCAATTATTTTTAATTTTACGTCCATTCTTTCACGAACTTTTGAACAGGCAACATAAAGTTGACCGTGTCCTAATGCAGGCTCAGGTAAAAAAATGCCAATACGCTTAAGCGTTTGGCTCTGAGACTTATGGATGGTCATGCATATGCGCCATGTCATGCTTATGGATGGTCATAGCAAGTTTTACAGGAAATTGTCTACGTCTCAATTGAAATGGCAACCCTGTGCCGTGGCAACTTCACCCCATTGGCTAGTACAGTTATGCAAGCAGCCAATAAACTATCGGCGACAATACATGGGGTCAAGTAACATCATCTCCTCCGAAACAGCTGGCTCACGGGCTTAGCGAAGCACACTGTTGGATTCCGCAGGTCCATGGCATGCCATTTTGACCATTCGCGTCTTCGTGGAACATTAATTATCCAAGATATTAAAAACTAACTTTCCCCTATGTTTTCCCCACATTTTCCACTTTCTTTCTTGGGTTTTCCCTATTAGAGGGATTTGACTATGTGCCAAATTCTTTTTTTTTTTTTTTTAATATCTACGGAACGGCGCCGAGTTGAAATTCGAGGCGCATATCCTCAGATTCCAAAAAATTCTCCGAATCCATCGATACCGTTTTCATCTTCGTTTAATCGGCTGAGATATTAATTAAAAACTACGGAAACGTTAATTTCCGCGCTCATTTTTCTGAGTGGCAACAATAAACTATCAGCGACACACACTTAAGCCGCTTATATATACAGGGTGGCGCAGAGAAACAGGAAATTTTGAACGTTACATTTGGCAGCACTGTAGAGCCGGCAGTTGTTTGAAACTTTGCACAATTGTTGTAAGCGCATTGCCATTTAGTAATCATGGATCATTGGACTGGTGCGGAACGTGCAGTAGCTGTGAGAGCGTTTTATAAAAATGGTGATAGTGCGACTGCCGCGTGGAATTTCGACAGCATTACCAGCTTCGACGTGATGGACGTGTCCCATCTGCGCATGCGATTACAATGTGGGTGCATAATTTTGAAGAAACAGGATCTGCCTTGAATAAGAAACCTCCATGTGGCATTCCAACGGTACTTACCCCAGAGAACATTGAAGCTGTTACAGCTGCAAATGAGAGAAGTCCTCGCCTCTCCGTTCGACAGCAATACACTGCTCGACAATCAATGACAGCAGTTCGTCAATTGTTTGGAAGATGCATTATTTCACGTAACGGTGATACTGAATGGCCTGCGAGATCCCCTGATCTTAGTGTGTGCGACTTCTTCCTGTGGGGATATCTTAGAGGCAAGGTGTACCATACACGTCCTGCAACAATCCATGAACTGAAGGTGCATTTGGTGCATTTAATTATGGCAAAGGACACAAGGACTATCTGCCTAAGGGGAGGGATGCCTTTGTGGTGGACTTTCTAAGGGACAGTGTGTGTGTGTGTGGTTATGGCAAAGCCTCGAGGGCTATCTGCCTAAGAGGAGGGCTGCCTTCGTGAAGGACTTTCTAAGGGAAACTGGCTCGTATACACGTTACACATGGGGAAAACCACGAAAACGCCCATGCAGCCAGCCCGTTTGCGGGATTCGACCTCGGATCGAACTACCAGTGTTCAGCGATTTTACCGCTCGGCCGCTGGTGGGCCTCTTTCTAAGGGAAACTGACACGTATACATGTTACACATGGAGAAAACCACGAAAACGGCAGTGTGAACGCCGAATGGGAGCACATCTTTCCGATGTCATATTTGAAAAGTAAAGAGACACTTTTGGACATTTTGATTGTAAAAACATAAATGGCATGCTGAATACATGCACTTTAGTTAATAAATTACTAGTTTTATGAATTTATTCATGGGAATGACGTTATTTCAAAATTTTTCATTTCCCTGCGCCACCCTGTACAAAGATAAAGGGACAACAAATACAATCTTGTTAATGTACAACATTTTTTTGCACATTTTATGACATATAATTTCATATATATTTATTTTTCTTTGTAAAATTAAAAGTATAATCAATTGATTAAATATAAGAAATTTGCATAATTTGGATGGAAGTTTTTGCACTGGGATCTTGTGCTTATTTTATATGTACTTATTTTTTATACTTTTTTAATGTCTTTAGAAACTCAGCTGCTGTGTAAAAACAGAAATATGTACATAAAATATATCAGAAATCAGAATAAGAAAAACAAATTAAAGTTCTTACTTCTAATTTGTATTGTGAGATGCAATAAGGAGTTGAAACTTTATTCTCTGACAGAGCAGATGGCTTTATCACATACAAAAGCAAGAGACCCTGAAAAAAAAGTATAGCTGTTAGACTATGAAACTAAATTTTAAAAAAGTTCTATAATCAGAACCACATCAATAAAGTTTTAAATCAAAACCCAAACTGTAATTTATCAAAACCCACTTTAATAACTGGAATTTAATCTCCAGGTGAAATTACACAAGCTATCACGACAGTATGTTCTTATTGGCAATTTAAAAAAAATTAAATTTCTTTCCCAATTATTTTGATTTATTAGTTTCTATATGTCTTAGAAAAGTGTTTCTCAATCTGTGGCCCTTGAACCCCAAATGGTCCTTGAAGTCTGCTCTTGCAGTCCTACATGATTTCCCAAAAAGACAAAAAATTAAATTCAAATTAACTGTCAATATCATACTGTAGCTGAAAATCTCAAATCTTGGAAATTCTACATGGCAAGCACCTATCACTCTTTCTCCCAAGGATGACATTTTATAAATAAAAACTGACTCGTATAAAGTACCAAAATGACTAGATAGTTTCATAGTGACTATATATGTCATTCTCAGACTTAGATTTACTGGCACTTATCTAAACAGAGAATGGTTGAGCAAGAATTCGCAGGTTCATCCATCTCGCTAATGCAAGTACCAACAATATTTGGTTAGTAAGATAGAGATTATCCAAATTCGAATAGCCAAAAATTATTTAAAATAAATAAGTTTTCTTCTGCTAACTTAATTACACCACTACGATACTAGTTATGTGAAAGTTATGGCTTACTGCATGATTTATAGCTATTTTTAAAGAGGAAATGATGAAAACTTTTATCACTTTGCATAGTACTTTTCCCTGACATTCATTTTCTGTGCCAATCTTCCAAATTTTTGGTTAAATTGAAGTGCTGTTGTTGTTGTACCTAATGACCACATACTTGCAACATAATGCATTCAATAGAAACAGCCAATATCATTGATTATACAACCATCTCATCACTGAGAATGGTGGCAAAGAAGCACAGGGAACAACTGAATTACATTTATAAGAAAGTGGGTGTTCCATCCAAATTCTGATAAAGAACAGAAACCCCAGGAAAAGGATACAAAAGATTTCCATTCCTCTTATCTTAACATTAAACCTCTCAAAAGGGCTTTCGGATCACCAGTGTTCTAAATGCCTCCATGCCGCGCAGATACTATGCACTTACAAACATTCAAGCCATCTCTTCAGATTCAAAACCGAGCCTAATAATACAGCAGCCAACAACATCATTAGCCAATACACTGATTACAGTATAACTAAATTATAAATGCACCAAATACATGTCTAATGATAACAGCCATATTTCAGTTTGACATCAAAATAATCTTTCATTATGCAATGTAAAAGTTTTAGGACACATAATTGTTTTTATATGCTTTTATTTAATCCACTCACGGTATTTGTCAGTATGGTCAGAAGTTTGTCACTGATTTTAACCTACTTCCTGATAAGCTTTCGAGTTCAAATTTTGTAAGCACACTGTCGGCGAATAAAAATGCAATGCAGTAAAATGAGTTTTTTCAAAATTCAATTTAGATTTCTCCTAATTAATGTTTAAATGGTTTGTCGCCTATATCTTCACTTAATGAACAAACTAAATATCTCAGACATTTAATTTTTACACCAATAGATAGAATGGGAAACAAATCTTTTAAATGACATTTGCATAAAATTTTAACACAATTTCTGATTTTTTGACCAATTAAAAAAACTGCTTAATTTTTTGAAATATTTGGCATTTATGATTTTAAAATTTTAACATCTAAAAATGTACTGGTTACAAAATCTTGAATTTTCCACCTTTTTGTAAGAATGATTTTAAAAAATTAATTTGCAGTTTTTTTTTTTTTTTTTTTTTTTTAATATTCCAGAGTGTGATAAAAGAATTGTTCCTTCTTTGACAATGCTGGGAAATGCAATTTCAAGGTTATGATGTCAATATGTGATTGTGAAATCTACCACATCACTTTTAATTTTTTCCATTTCATAAGCTTATACACATTTTTTCAGCATTTCTTTTAGCTCTGTTAATTTCAATGGGGTACGCAATATCATAGTCTTTTATAAGACTAAAATTCTAACATCAAAAAATATATCAGTAATAAATATTTGAAATTTTTGAAGATTATGAAAGAAATGCTTCCAGAAGGCACAAAAATTGTTGATCTAAAGAATCTGATGGAGAATAGTAATGTTTTTGAAACTGATCTTGAGTTAGGTACGTACAACAGTTTATAGCTGACAATAAAATGCGATGAAATAATTTTATTTTTTTCAAAATTCAATTTAAATTTTGCAAATTCATTCAATGCTGAAGCAATTTTTTGTATGTATCTTCATTTAAGAAACAAATTAAAGTTTCAGAACTCCACTGTTTGCAACACAGGATAGCACACAGAGTGGAAAGAAATCTTTTATGAAGTTTATAACATATTTTAATGAACTTTTTTGGCAAAATCACTGGAGGTTTTTAATAATTCCACATAAGCAATTGTTGGATTTAAAACAGTGATTATTCCTTGTTGAAAAATGATCATTCAATCTAAAACTTGATTAATAACATGATGACTAAAAAGATGAAAAAAAAAAAAAAGAAAGAAAATGGAAATAAAAAGTTTTTAAAAAATAAGCTTTTATTTAACACTCATAAAATAATATATTAACTAAAAATGGAAAAATTATTTATCATATAGTCAAAGGGCAGCAAAAGGTTAAATAGAATTTATCTACAATTTTACATCATGAGTCATAAAAGCGTGGACGCCTGAATAATAAAGCATGGACACCTGAATAACAAAACCAAATAATCAAACTGCACTGTCAAAAGCATAAGCCATTAAACTTTACATATTTATCAATAATGCCCAAAGCTTTTATTATTTGTGATATAAAATTATAGATGAAATTTGTAAAGATAATTATTTAATCTCTTGTCCCATTAAACCATATGATAAATTATTTTTCTACTTTTAGGTCATCAATTATTTTAAAAGCTTTAAATAAAAGCTTATTTTTAAAAAAATTAAACAACATTCTTTAAGCTAACATAAAAAATTCAAAACAGCAATATAGAATTCTCATCAGCAAGTGATAACTATTCTTTCATAGACAAAATCTGGACATCAAAGTGACCTCTAGTAGCTTAAAAAAGCAATTACAATGTTTTATTGGTTAAATGTTCTTTTTATGAGCTATTTATTGTTTCATAATAACTGTAGTTTTTTTTGGGGGGGGAGAATAGCTCATTTCAGGTAAATCTTAATTTTCTTCGGGAAATTCAATTACACTATTCTATCACACTTTTCTATCACATATTTCATCTATTATGTGGTATTAAATCAATTTAACTTATTTGTGTTTCTTTCTTACACCCTTTAAATATAATTTCATTTTAACCTACATAAAAGCACTTTATAATATGTAAAATAATTTCAACAAAAACTAATTAATTTATCTGATACTTGCCTTATTCATTTAATTAAAAAGTGATTTTTGGTTCATAAATATGAATATAATCTTAAACGCAAATTACTTTTATTATTATTGCAGCATTAACATACTTTCTAGAATTTCAATACTACTAGAGCATCCAAATTCAGTTTTTTCAAGTGAAAAAAAAACTTACTGAAGACAAAATAAGCTTTAAATTTCCTTACTTTTCCAGCATTTGTAGTTATCCTATTCAGAGCTGCAAGGGAAGACCAGGTAAAATGTGGCTTCCCTCCTGCGTATGCATCTCTGAAATTCTGCTCTTTAACTGGTTTAACCAGAACAGAATAAGTAGAATGATAAAAAGGTGGGCCATCCTTGTACAAAACTGAAACAAAGCAAAAAGTACCTACATTAAAACACGTATTTTTAAATACACGTCTTAGATTCAAAATGCTTCCAGAATAGTAATCTACATGAAATAGTGAGAATAGGCAAAATTTTGCTTTTCATAATTTAGAAACACCTGTACCGCTTACCAAAAATTGAGCACAACACTCATTTTCAGCTTCAGTACTCATGCTTCAATTTAACAAATTTAAGACAGCCACAAAAGAAAATATGCAGATGTAACATGATAAGACAAATTAAGATTGACATTCACAATATAGAAGTTAGGCATTGGCTACAGGCAACATATGTATACACAAGGTGATTAAAAATATTTCTGGCAAA